ATAAGCGATATATCGTTCGGAGATAACAAAGATAGGAAGAGTTCGGAAGGATATATCTATAAGTTATATAGTAGTCCAATCGATTAGAAAGTATCCAAACAGAAGACAGTAATAACGTCGATAACTAAGGCAGAGCTTCTTACTCTAGTAGAAGCCGGAAAAACCGTCTAATAGTAGCGTCGAGTCCTTAAAGCACTAGGCTTCTAACTAGATCATCCCTTATCCATTATATACGACAATCAGCAGACAGTCGATCTATTAACGAAGGAGGGATCGACGATATATACGAAGCTGCGGCATATAGATATCAATCGATCCTAGATGAAGTAAGAAGTTAGTGCGGGCAGAGTCAATATAGACTAGGTTCCAACTACAGCGATGCCTATAGATAGACTTACAAAGGCGCTTCTAAGACAGAAGCAGCATCTCTTCCGAGAGATGATTAGGATGAGAGAAATCAGGCATCTGATTCATCTAGAGGAAGTGGAAAAGAAGTGAAGAAATAAAGGAACTAGCAGTTCTTGAAGCCAGGAAAATGCAGGCTTTAGGAATTGGCAGCTCTGAAAGCCAAGAAAAATGCAGGCTTTAAGAGCTGGGGGGGTGTGTCAAAGTGCAGGGTTGCATACATGGGATGATACCATGGAAGATTATGTAATCATGCTTAGTAATAACCGCACAGAAACAGCAGTTTCTATTATGTAGAAAATGCAGAGTTCTCCATATCAGCCCTGAGGTGCATACATTTCAATACGTCAGATTTCTGTCAAATTACCTTGTTAAGGCAGAAATACAGTCCCGTATGCTTACAAAAGGTTCCGTCGCTTAAATTATCCGCCCAAGCTTCACCATGTGCCTCCTCGACCTTTCACTTTCGCCCTTTACCCCTTTTGGCCTGTTGGGCCGTGCAGCAGGCCGAGTGCATATCATGCCGAAATTTACCCTGCTGAAGAGAAACTAGCCCCAAAACTTAGAGCCGATTTTCAACGAGTGTTTCGGATATTTTAGGCGCCTGATGGTATAACTTTGTGAGCGTTTGGTAGGCGGTAGAGCCAAAATACGGGTAGTTGGACTTGAAAGGGTGTTAAAAACGCCTTTGCGTAAGACTCACCGTATATATATCGCGGTTACAAAGTTCTAAATTTTTTTCCAAATTCCCTACAGAAGCTAGATATCACCTAAAAAGCATGGAACAATAAGTAACCCCCACATAGACAGACCATCGTTGTTGGGATATCAAGTTGTAATTTATCGCATGTACGGAGTACTACCATGTGTTTTGCGGTGAACCCACTCTCGGTAGTTAAATACGTTATCTCCTCCTTCTGTTGCCTGCACTTACTGGCCTCATATTGATGACCCGTTTTAGATCCTGCTTTCAACCTTGCGAGTGAGATCCTAACGGTCCGGTTCCCAGACACGCTTCGAGTTGTTTCTAGGGGTCAAGGTATTATAAACTTGATGCCATATTAAGCTTCTGGAAGGATTCAAACTCTCCTGCACGTGGATTATAACCAGTTCAATAGGCTTCCAAAGTTCCTTCCAAGATATATTAATCGCTATAATAGGTAGGTAGGAAACCTCCATTGTGGGTCGAGCTAACACAAGAAATCAATCGCCTGTTTAGTGCGCCACATGGTTGGCACGTGGTTGTACTCCACAGAATTTGTTATGATTGGACGAGTCATCCAAGACAGTCTGATCCGTTTAGGCCAAGAACAATCCATGGATGCTGCTTAAGTGCCCGTCTCCCACCATTACCACCAACGATCACCTTGTTCACCCTCCGGCCTTCTTCGCGATCATGGGTTTCTTCTTCCGCATTTTGAGCCTGACGGCTACGGCTTTGGCTTTCGTGGGTGCAGAGGCCCATGTATGTCGATTCCAGCCTACTTCTCCCAGCGTCAGCGTCGAGCAAGGTGTCGTCAATGGCCTTTTCCAGAATGACACCTCCGTCTTTCTAGGCATTCCCTTTGCTGAGACCACTGCGGGTGAGAACCGCTGGAAGGCTCCTAAGCCCATCAGCTCGTTCCCCAATGGCCACTTGGAGGCCACTGCCTATGGACCATCCTGTGCCCAGGCAATGTCTGGCACTGCTATCACCGACCAGAGCGAGGATTGCCTCAGCCTCAACATTTGGACTCCAAGCAAGGGTGCCAATCTTCCTGTGTTCGTCTATATTTACGGCGGGGCTATGGTCACCGGCGGCAGCAGCAACGCCCAATGGCAAGGCTTTAACTTTGCCCGTAATGATGTTATCTACGTCAACTTTAATTACCGCGAGAGCATCTATGCCTCGCCCAATGCCCCTGAGCTACAGGGAGAGTCCCAGAACTTTGGAATCCTGGACGTGGAGTTGGCCATGGAGTGGATTTACAAGAACATTGAGGGTAGGCTCCCCTTTCTCTTAAACCACCTTTTGGCTTTTTACTAATCTAGTCGCTAGCCTTCGGTGGTGATAAATCGCGCATCGTGCTGGGTGGCCATTCATCTGGTGGAGTCCACGTTGATCACTATCTCTGGAATCATCCCGATACCTTCCTGGCCGGCGCGATCGAGATGTCTGCCAACGCCCAATCTGGTCCGGCCATTGCACCCCCCGGTGTCGCATTAAAGCAGGTGGTTCAGGACATGCTGGATGCCGGCGTGACTTTGGCCTGCACCGCTGAGAACTACACTCTGGACTGCCTGCGCGCAGCAGATACTTACGCCTTCCAGACGACGTACTTCAACTCGACCTCGAACACCTGGTTCTCACCGGTGGTGGACGAGATCACCCGCTTTTCCAACTACACCGACCGCTTCGTCAAGGGTGACTACGCAACATCGGTGCCGCTGATCGTCGGCAACTCCGACCAGGAGGGCGAGCTCTTCGGCCACGTCTACGGTAGCGAGAACACGGACTTCTCGTCCTGGATCCGCACTTTTGATGCCGACATTGCCTTCGTGCCCGAGGACCAGCTCATGGCCGCCTACGACGAAGCCGACTACGCCACTGTCTCCCTGATGAGCGGTGCCTCTTACGGCGACGCGCGATTCCTCTGCGCGACCGACGCCCTGCTGGACCTACGCGCCGCCAAGCAACCCACCTGGATCTACCGCTGGTTCGGCAACTACTCGAATGTGCTGCCGATCCCCAATCTCGGGCCCTCACACGGCAGCGAGGTGCCCTTTTTCCACGGCGGCAATGAGTGCTTCTCGCGCCTGGATGGCGTGACCGATGCGGAGCAACAGCTGGCGGATTACCTACACGCCCGTTTTGTCGCGTTTGTTCAGAACCCCAGCGCTGGGCCTGGCTGGGAGAAGGCCGAGCCTGTTGATGGTCCCTTGGCGCGCTTGGGTGTGCCTGGGCACGAGGAGGAGACTGTGACCAGCACGACTGGCGTGTACAACGGTCGCTGCCAGAAGGTCTACAAGCCCAACTATCCTAAATACCCAGTGGTGCTGAACCCTGTGTTGCTGGCCGAGAGTGTCTGAGAAATCATTCCGCCTTGTTCTGTGTAATATAGAATTAGATCTAGAATTATTCATATAATTTCAACCGAATCGTGTAGGTACCATCACAGAATAAGCCTAATGCAGGTACTACCGCGGCTTGAGAACGCCCCCTCAGACTAAACTCCTGTAAACAGGCATTGCAACAGCATCGGCCCCCACAGTGGCGTGTGCTGAGCGGCAAATCAAATTCATCTTCCGGAACACTCGGAACACCTTTTAAAGTTCGACACTGAGTCCAAAGTTTCTGCAGAAGTGGCACCACTAAAATGATCTGGATCGCGAGTCCCACGTTCTCTCCTTTCTCCACTGTGGACTTGGAAGAATAAATATTTTCGCGCCTAGGTTGTTGTACGGAGCGCTATGTATCCATTATTTACTAATATCTATCGCATATTGTTGCTAGTGGTGGACCACCAGCTTCGAATAGATTAATTCATGTAATTGCCGAATGGGGAATCTCCAAACGCACGAACTTCTGCTCCAGATTACACTGTACGATGAAAACTACCTGGTACCTAGTTACCTACCTACTTAGGTACCTACCTAGGTAGGTAGGTACCTAATTGTGGCAAACTAGAATCAATCCGAACCAATCAATTCTGGAACCTTGGAACTTTCCCAAGGTTCGGAATTGATCTAGCGTCCACAAAGTTCTTTTGATTATAGCACCGATCCATGGATGATTTGGTGGGGCCATATACCTAGGTAGGTACCTACTCAGTTGGTACCGTGTAAAATCCCCGTCTAATACAGTAATTATCGATGTTTGCCCTATATTCAAAGCATAGATGTAATCTTACCAAGAAAGATACCTTCCATCCTATACGAGGTGAATCGAGCAACGAGTCACAGTCCTCAAATCTGAGTTTAACCATTCGATAATCTATGCTAGGGCATTCCCAAGGCAGTGGGCCTTGGGAAATGTGTTTTAGTGTACTGTCTCAATTTGGAGATTGGCTGTAGCAGATGTCCTATAGATAATTTATAATAATAGACGACTGGCACATTATTTTCATGCTCCGAGTCTTGCTTTTTCCCTCTCTCTGCGGTTCGGTCAAGTCAACATGGCGCGCCCAGATATGGGGCAAGTGGTATGATATCTTTTCTTCAAATTTCCCACTACCGTGCTAAATAGATTCCCGTTGTGCAGGTGGCCTGGTATGTGTGCACAGTGGTGGCATGCATCTTCCTGGTCTGTCGTCTTGTGGTCCGCCTGCGGCTCCTGGAAGCGGCTTTACGTCGACGACCTGTTCGTTATTCTGGCTGCGTTGTGTCTAATCTGCGATCTGGCAATTCAACATTATATGTTTAACATGGGTAGGTAGTTCGATTATCGAACTGGTGGAGCAGAAATTTAGAGGAGTCCACTGACGGTAGTGGGCACAGGCATGTCTGAAATGGCGAATACAACCATGCAGCAAAAGATTAATATGATGAAGGTAAAACAGCCTGTGTTAGGAAGTATACACAATCAAATTGTTGCTAATGCCTAGTTTATTTACTAGATGATCATCCCGGGCTCCACATTATACGTCACTGCGCTATGGCTGATCAAGTCTAGCATGGTGATCTTCTACAAGCGCCTTGCAGATCGCACCCGGTACCAGATGGTGTATAACATCACACTTGGTTTCCTGGCTGCGACCTGGCTAGTGCTGTTTTTTGATATTGTCTTCAAGTGCTACCCGCCCCGGCGGCAGTGGGATGGGCTCACAAACCCTGAGTGTGAGAGAATGCTCCTATAACAACTACTACAGATGCAGGGACTGACGCTGTTTTAGTGGCATGCCCCCAAGGACCGTCCACAATCAATTACTGGCTCACTATACTCTGTAAGGCCGTATTTCTTACTTTACTTGGATTATCAACTAACTTTTGCAGTCAACATCTTCAGTGATGTCTTCAGTAAGGTTCCGAGCTCAATTTATCCCAATCGCTCCATCTAACCCAATTCAAACAGTCATTTGCCTCCCCATTGCGCAGGTTGCACGACTCAAGATGCCCAAGAAACAAAAGTGGGGTGTCATCTCAGTCTTCCTTCTGGGTGGTCTTGTGGTCATCACCAGCAGTATGTCTCCCCTACTGTGTCCCTCTCATCTCCTCCCCATAACTAAACGACGATGTACTTAGTCATCCGGGCAATCTACTCCCACCGCAACGAACAAATGATCACCTGCACCGTCTCCATGGTGGAGACCGCCATCGCCATCATCGCTTCTTGTCTCCCCGTTCTCCGCACCCTGGTATTCGGCTCGCACTCTCGCACGGGAACATATAGCGGCCGCCGCGGCTACGAGCTCTCGCACTCTGGCGTGCATACGGGTACCAAGTCCAGCAAGCAACTCACCACCGTCTCCGTCTCACGAAGTCAGGTCGACCGTGGCGCAGATGACGTTTCGTTCAATGACTCCGAGGATGGATTGGTGAAGGATACCGCACCGGTTACCAAACCAGGGATTGCCGTCAGGACTGAGTATTTCGTGCACGATGATCGTGCATAAGGATGCATGGAACTTCTGTGAGGCTAGCTTGGGAAGCGTTCACCTTGTCGGTTGTGCACCCTCACGCATAAAATATATAACTATAGAGGCACTCATGATCATACCCTTGAAATCCCATTAGGGTATTATTATGACATTAGAATATAAGTAGTATACTTAAAATAAAAGGTTATAATGTGATCTTATTGAAAAAGACCAACATCTCTTTATGTGCCTTTTGCATGGTTTGCCCTTTCATATGGGTGGCTGATTTCCGCGCTTCAGCCTTGCTTCCCCTGGTTATTTTTCGATCTGACCCAATGCTTTCCACTTTTGCTTCTCATCCCTCGAAGATTCTATATTTTTGATCGGGCTCTGGGAATGCGAGATACTGCTTGGCTTTGACACAATACTGATATTATTTCTCTTACGACCAGCGAGAGTTTGGAAGCCCTATTCTGACCCGGTCAGGGCGCATTTGACTATATTCATCATCGGGACTATTCTCCTCCCATCGATAGGCCTGTATGTCTTTTGAATGCAAATTGTTGATCACGTTATCCGACAGGGCGTGCACTTTACCAATGTTAGAGCAACGCTAGTATGCATATATTTTCCAAGCTATAACCTTTGTAGAGATTTGGCGTTAGATGACGCCGAATTCCAAGTACCCGCGTTATTCAGATAGGATAGATGAAGAAAGGGTTCTCCATATCAGTCATATCCAGCATGGCAATTTCAACTTTCCTGCGTATCACATTCCCATTTTCATCAAGCTCCTCGACCACTCCAAATTCGTGAGCTCTTCTCTCTTCGCTGGTTAAGGATGCAGCCCAAGTCTTCCGCTGATCATTCCTGCGTTTCAACAAGAACCGTATAATGAAAAGGATGAATGGTGTCCCAGCCCAGCTGACCACTATCATGGAGATCCAGGCACCGTAGTAGCGAGGTGCATCCTTAGGAACCCAGATCTGTGGCGAGCAAATGTTTGCAATGGAATAACCAACCATGAACATAACATTTCGGGTGAGCTTCTTCGTGTAGCCGGCCGCAGATGATGTAGTCCAACCCAATGCGATAATGTAGGTATTACCATAGGTGTGGCCAGCTAGCAGTAGACAAGCAAGCATCCCTAGCTTCTGGTCCCAATCAATAGCGACCATGCCAATTCCACCTGCAATCGCGGGGACACACCAGAAGAGTCCGTGGAGGGCAAGATTTGAAGGCCACCACCGTAGGGCGTAGGCTCCTGTAATACAAACCAGAACACCGAAACCGCCGCCTGCTGCAGCCACGAGAGTCGAACCCAGACTGTCCACTCCAAGAGCCTTGGTGATGAGGTTTTGTTGCCCGTAGGTGAGATTATTAGACATCATGAGAGTGAAAGACTGCAGAGTAAACAACCATGAAACGGGGTCGCGCAGCGTCTCTATAAACTGGCTCTTCTTAAACTGCTTCTGTTCAATGGAGCTTTGACTTGACTCGTGTACTCGTCTGATGGTGTGAATTTTCTCCTCCAGTGACAGGAACCTAGCCTCGGCTGGGTTATTCGGATACTGAAACCAAACAAGAACAGAAAGAAGTACCGAGACAGCTCCAGTAATAATCATAAACAGCTTCCAGGGCAGAATGGTGCTATGACTCCAAAGCAAGCCGTAGGAGATAAATGCGGCACATATAGGGGCGGCTGCCGACGTCAACCAAAGCCAGGGTTGGAGGAACGACTGTTCGTAACGATTAAAGAACATTCCGATTGTGACCTCCATTGCGGGTACAACGACAGATTCAGCGGCACCAAGCGCCAGTCGCAGAACCACAAGAGCGCCATATGTTGTGGCAACGCAGTGAAGTAGTAGGATGACACCCCACATGAAGACAAGAGCGGCGACAAATTTTCCAAATGGTAGTTTTTGCATAGCATAGTGTCCTGGCCATTGTGCAATAATATAACCTAGCGGTATGTCAGGGAAGGTATAACTAATCAGAACTATAATACTGTTACGTACCGACGTAGAAGAAAGTTCCAAGATTGTTGTATTGGGCCTTGGTGATACCGGTCTCTTCGAACAGGCCAAGAATAGCGGCGTATCCCAGGGTGGATTTGTCGATCTAGAGAAGTTAGAAGTTACAAATAAAAAGTTGAATAATGAGCTCACAAAAAGCAGTAGGTTGATAGCGGAGAGTAGCCCGAAGATTCGCCAGTACAATTTGCGTCTCAGCCTTTTCTCCTTCTCGGTGGTCAATGGACCAACAGAGTCTCCATGAAGCTCAAGAATGCGCAGAGTTTCATCGGCATATTTGGTCTCGATAGCTTTCTCGTTCTTAGGTGGTGGATTCTCCTTGGCTGTGGGCTCAACCTTGAAGGCCAAATCCATACCTGCGTATACCTTGTTTCTTAGCGGCGATCGAAAGAGGCGTGCACGGTCAACGCAGGCCTTTGAACGAGCAGAATAAAGCACTTGTGGCAAAAGAACGAATGAGCTTAGTGAGTTATTTTATCGTTTTGGAGTACTCAGAGATTTCATCACGCCATAATTTGGATAAAGAACGTATCCCTCACTTTCTTGGCTCTAGAAATTCAGTTGATTAAGTTGAGACGATCATGATTATCATTGAGAAGGCTCCAAGTCACACAAGGACCCATCGATTATGTTCATTAATTCATTATAACCTCCGATAGCCACGGTTAAGGGGCATGTGAAGCAAGGAGAGGACAAGAATGAGTAAGGTCAATTGCCTCTGTATGCCTCAGGCACCAAAGTCTTAAGTGGCCCGTGTGGTGTGGGGAATCCCCGGCCCGGTTCCCGTCGTCCATTTTTGGAATCTTTCCAAGGTTCTCCTGTCGAGTGTCAACATTGGAAATCTAAGACTTCGAAGTCTGTTCCAGATTGATTTCGGCCTTGGTGTATGCTGAATCCGTCTTTCGATATAGTTGAGGTCATTCAACTCCGCCCTTAATCATCCGTATGAGCGAAGCGTCCCAGGGTCCATCGATCTTTTCAAGGGACCACTATACAAATGCTCTCTATGGAGAGACGAAAGAACTGTGTATGGTTCCCAGAAAGCGAAGTGGACGGAGAGAGGTAGGAGAGGATGTACCTGGCTACTCCGTACGGAGTACAAGTTGTGCACCTAGGTCCGTATGGGGCCTGAGGCCACCTAACATTCCGTCAAGACGTCGCTCACACTCATCTCAACAACACATGGCGTGATAAATAGCAAAAAATGCCCCCACAGCTTCCAATAACACCATTATTGCGCGAAATGGCATGGCTATAGCCAATCCAACTTGGCGCATCTACGCGTGTCATCATCTTCAGCCACGCTTCTTGCTTTCGCCATTTAGCTGGCTATTACGTGCCAGATCTACATTCGCCCGAACGAATGGTACCATTTGGAGTTGTGCTATCTTGCAATGCAAATCTTACCACGTCAAACGTCACATCGGTACAGATATACTGAGAAGGATCTTTAATTAACCACGATCATTGTGCAATATTTGGCCGCCAGATTCACTGATATAAACCTTTCGACTCCGGCAGATATTCGGAAGACAAACCATCGCGCGATAATTTCCCCACTTGTAGTACACAAACGCTACAGGCTAGGTGCTTTTGACTAGGATCTTATACACAGAGCAAGACACCAGATGACGAATTCTCTTTGGATTTCTGCTTACCATGACGCCTTTCCCCCAAGACCGGAATGCAAATGGTCGGTCTCCCAGTCGGCCCACTGCTTTGGTTGTAACATTCGCCCCTCCGATGTTGAAATCGTCATGCCCCACAAGCAAACGTTGCCTGCATGCCTACTGAAATCGTGAACGTGGTACTGGACAAGATATCCGGAAGTAAGATATGAAAAGAAAAACGGCTCGGAGCCATGATATATAGATGGCCGATGCGGCGTGGTTTTTACTTTCTTTCTCTAGCATATACACTATCATATGAAGCGACGGGAGCATTGACACTCGCTACCTTGCATTGTTTGATTTATTTTCGCGAAGAACATTGTCAGGCCTCCATAGCTCTTAACAATTGCCAGCAATGGCTTGGCGACGATCTTCAAACAAGCCCCGTACTGCGCTCAGCACTGCGGTCGAAGGCCAGACGGGGCAGGTCACAACTGTTGGCGGGAAGTATATCGGCGAGACAGGAGGCAATAATGCGACAACGACGTACCAAGACGCATCTGGCGCTCCAGTTGAGCACGACTCGCCATTGGGATACTCCGTTGGCCCTGTCACTATTACCTTGCTGAACATCACAATGATGATCGGCGCTGGTATCTACTCCACGCGTTAGTGTCACACAACCCATGCATATGCAGAAATGCCAGCTAATATGATAAAGCATCATCTATCCTGTCCGGTACGGGCTCGGTCGGTGTTACTCTTGTTTACTGGACCATCGGTTACTTGGTATGTCTTGCTCATGATCGGAAAGTAGCATCGACTGATCATACTTGCTTTGTCCTAGATTTGTCTCACGTCTGGAGCTGTGTACCTTGAGTTTACAGCATACTTTCCCAGTCGATCTGGCTCAGAGGTCGTTTTTCTCGAACAAGCTTACCCTAATCCAAAGTGGCTCTTCCCAACTACCTTTGCGTTCCAGAGCGTCATTCTTTCTTTTGGGGCTGCCAATGCTACAGGTGGGTGGCTGGTTGCATTTTTATTTGTCGCAGGACATTAATTAATAAACCATAACAGTTATGGCCAACTATCTCATCGCCATCTCCGGCCACTCGGGCACCGACTGGCAGATTAAAGGGACTGCTGTAGCGTGCTACACTCTCGCTACTTTGGGTAAGTTGCTTTCAGCACATCATTTGTTCGGGGTTCGGGTACTAACAACCTGCAGTACTGGTGTTTAACACAAAATATGCATATTGGTTCTCAAATGCTGTTGGAATTGTGAAGATTTGCACCCTCCTCTTTGTTATAGTCACTGGCTTTGTTGTTTTGGGTGGCAACACTAAAGTTGAGAACCCTAAGGCCAATTTCCAAGACGCATGGTCGGGTA